CATGTGAAAAAAATTGCTTCTCACTGTTCTCAGGTCAGATATTTATATGCGATTAAAAATGCGATTAATTTCGATTAATTAATTACAAAGCCTGTAATTAATTAGATTAATTTTTTTAATCGAGTCCCGGCCCTAATAAAAATATATATAAATAAAATCGATTTTTAAAAATAATATTAGATTATGGAGACTGTAACGAATATTCGAATAATCACTGGCATCCCTACTACCTACCCACCCACCCATCCATCTATCTATCTATCTACTCTGTAAAGCACTTTGGACTGCGTCAAGCATGAAAGGTGCTATATAAATAAAGTATTATTATTATTGATGGAAATTAATTAACTTTTTCCCAGTTAAAGTGACCACTCGCTCAGTTTAAACCTCCGCCTGACAGTGGGACTTCCTCTGAAATCGTACCTCTGTTCCCGCGTTGGGTTGGGCTCCTGAATACACGGACTCCGGCGGGGGTCCTCCGTACTTGCGCTGCCCCGTTGTGACGTCCAGTGTGTAGTTGGTACGGTCCAGCAGCTCCTTGATTTTGGCCTCGTCGGGTCCTTTAGTGGAATCTGTAACTTTAGTGCCTTGTTTCTCCCGCTGCCGGTACGTCTTCATCACGCCGCACAGGAAGGCACTTTTGTTCTGGAAGGGAGACACACCGGGTTAAATACTGTTAAAGTATGGAAGAAAGAAAATGGTATTTGCCCGATTTTATTTTGTGTGTAACATTTATTAGAACAAGTAACTAGGGAGGAAAAGAGAGGGGGTTTTATTTTCTGACGCTGCGTGAGTTCCCCGACACACCGGGGACACATCTTTAGGTATCAAAGACATCACAGTGCATTTTGCATGATAGCTCCCCTTTAAAGTATTTGTATGCATGGTCCTTGTACAATAAAGACATATAATAATAATAATAATGACTGAACGTACTTGCACGTGTGACAGGTCGCTCTCTTTGAACTGCGCGAGCACCTGCAGGGCTCCGTCCTCGTTGAACTCTTTCAAAGCTTCGATCGCCCGCTCGTCCAGATCACTGTGGGCTACCAGGCCTGAGGAACACAAGCATGTGGTGAATACGGTGTGAAAGTGTCTGGTTTGCTTTTGTTTGTGTGCTTCGTCCCGTTTCCATTTCATCTTCCACTCAAGAGAAAAGATTATTAATCAGATTATTCTGGGGCGGATGAAGCTGTAACACTTCCCTGCTTTAATCATTTGATCGCTTCTTATTATCATGCATTCATGCCTCAGTCGTTATGAAATAGAATCAGAACACCTTTATTAGTCTCACAGAGGGGAAGGGTACATTGTTACAGCAAAAGTTAAGAGGAAAAATAGCAATAAGTAGAGTAACAGTATTTTAAATGTGGCATGTATAAAGTAGTGTGATAGCAGCAAGGTAACAGTAGAGAAAGAGAAAGTATATATTACAGTTAGTGTTACAGTAGTTGAATGGTCTAACCAAGAGATATCAGCCATAAATGATAATCATAAAGCTGTATATATAGGAGAAAGGAAATGCTATCCCTCAGAAGTTTCCTTACTACATCTGATAATAGTTTACAGCCTCTTTCAGTGCCCCGTTTCAACACAACAGCTCTCATAAAGACATGCGAAAGATGTCTTGCGGCACAATCAAAAGGACAGTGTTTATAAATCATTCAACTAAAAAGGTGATACAACGAGATTACAAGATGCTGTAAACGCTTTTAAAGAAGCCACTACTGTTTCAGCTGCTGCTCAGAGAGTTCAGTTCACCTGCTGCCGAAGGACAGCTGCCCTTTTGTTTCTGCGCAGGTCACACCAGCTGCCTCCTAAACCCTTCATAACTACACCCATTCACTCCAGCTCCTCTGTGAAACAGCAGGACTATACTGAGAGAATAGTCTATATTGATTGGTATTGATCTGAGGTTTCTTGAAAAGGAACTTTCAAACCTGGGCAGCAGAGGGATTATCTATGAGTTGCAAACACACTGCTGCTAAAATGATTAGTCTAACTGCTTTTTAATACACTGTTATTATTCAGTTATTAGCCAATTACACCACAAAGGCCCTGATGAGAGAATGGTGCTTCATTTCTGATGTTCAAGCAAACTATTTTAAAAAGACAAGTCTGGTGATATTCTTCATTTTCTCTTAGTTTTAACCCATCCCGTTGTCCCTCTCAACACTTTGACTAATTCTCTTGCCAAAAAACACATATATAGTCATCGTTATTGTTTAAGGATGTGTACCTAAGTAAAAATGGAGGTACATATTGTACTTTTTACACTACATTCATTTGAGCTATAGTTAGTTACTTTGCAGTGTATGAACTCAAAGTGTTTACCAGCTGCAACATGAAAGTGATCAATGACACATTCATCATTAAAATATATATTTGCTTCTGTAACAGGCCAATCAAAGTGTTGTGATTTCGGTCTTTGTGGGCAGGTAAATAAAAAGACCGCACACACACACAACACACACCTTACCTGCTACATAAAGTTCATCCAGCTTCTCAGCAACATTTTGAGGTAAACCAGCCTCCAGAAGAGCTGGGAAGTGTTCGGAGCGGGTCACCTCGGTGGTGTCCATCGGCTCCTCAGAAACGCTTCCGTTCCCGTTCACCTGATCTGTGGCCATGTCTCCAGACATCTGTGCACAACACATAATAACAGAGTCAACAACAACACCACCACAACTGAGGCTACAACAGAAACTATTCAGTGGGCGGGCCGGTTTGGCGCCATCGTTTAAAAACTGGAGTGGCGGCTGTGTTCCAAGTTATTCTTATTATACACAGCAATAACAGAGGATCAGTTGTTGGCAAAGCAAGGCTTAGATCTCCCTCCAAAAATGCTCATTAAAAAAAAAGATAATTATGCAATTCAAACATGGGAGTCTTAAAATAAGTGGAATTTTATTTGAATAGGATAAAACATGTAAAAGCATGTTCCTAGCATTCGGTGCCATTTAGGTCCCCAAGACATTATATCATATATTTTTTATTTAAAAAGGGATAATGGTAATTAGTAAAGCTTGGGTTGACATGTTTAATCCCCCTCTACCATTAAAACGTTTTATACCCAGTAATACTAAATAATTACTCTTATTTGAGCACAAGTAGGCCAAACTGCCGTGTCCCAAATCATGTTTGCTCAACTTCCATAACAGATATAAAAAATATATATATACATTCTACATTGCATGTCACAAACATGCATTTGTTGTTTAATTAACCCCTATTTTTCGTTTTATAAACACATCTATTTATATCATATTTATACCAATTGATAAGATATACTTTATTGATCCCAAATTGAGAATGTTTTTTAATCACAGCAGCATGTAAGTCCACATAATGTGAAAATAAAGAGTACAAAAACACAAAAAAATAAAACAGAATTTAAAAAGTTAAATAAATGTTGACCGTGAAAGATAAACAAAATAATAACAATAAAGTACAAGATCTGATTACCGTACTTCTTCCACCTCTGTCTGACTGAATTATTTAATGCATTGTTTGTTCTTTGAACCCTTTCCCCCCATTTATAAGACACATTGTGCACATTTCTGCTCCGCACTACCCCTGTTTAAATCAGCACAGCCCTCCACTTAGAATATAGTATTTGTCATATTTTACTGTACCCAGTTTCTCACATAATTATATTTGGTGTAAATATTGTCTTAAAATAGTTTTTTAAAATAGCTTTTATACATAAAATGTTTTACTAGATGTCTGTCTTTGTATGCACCACTTACAGCAAAGCAATCCCTTGTATTTGTAAATCTACTTGGTGATAAAACAGATTCTGATCAACCCCCAGATTTGTTCAACCCCTTTTTTCGCCATTGACACAAATTGAAATATAAGAAAAAAATATACCATGCAAGTCATTTTTTTCGACATACATTCTCATATTAGGACTTATTAATCTCATTATTTTGACTTACTGTAATAATGACTTACTGTATGTCGAATTCAAGAGATAGAAAGTCATAATAACAACTCACATGATACCGTTTTTTGCACAATGGCGGAAATGGGCTTCCATATTTAACCCTAGCTTCCCACTAATAGTATAATAATAATCCACTAATTATCATTTTACATTACACTGAATTACATCCAGCACGCCTCTTAGTTACCAACAGGCCTCAGGCTTACCGGACCAGAATCAGGGTGATAAAAAAGCATCTGAAACCTTCATTATTCAATGCATTTGTTATTTGTTGACCCCTATTTTCACACACACATATTTAACCGTTGGTCAAAACAGGCCTGTTGGTTTTCAAAATGCCGGCTAGCCATGCTAAGCTAACTGCCATGTTTTCTAGCAGGTAACTTAGCAACAAAACACAGCATGTTTCACATGTAAATAGTTCCTCTGCGGGTTGTACTCACCACGCTGATCTAGCCTGCACGATGCGGATCCGCCGTGATGAAGGAGCTCCAGGTAATAAAAGGTAAATAAAATCCCCGGAGCTTTTTCAGGTTCTTTACTCCCGGTGAAAGAAAATGGCGAGGACGTAACGACGCGATCTCTGCTGTTCCACTGTACGTACGGGGTTTCCTGGGCCGCTTCTCACGGGCTGCTCCGTTTTACATATGGTTATGTACAATAGGTGGGAGATCAGAATCACAAATGTAAATACTATCATATGCATACATGTTTCTTCTCCTGTAGCATAAGTCTATTTTTCTGTTGCTGCAGTATTTTTAGATTCAAAGGCATTATTGTCATAAGCACAGTAGCTACCTACAGTGAAGAAATGGCAATGAAAATAGTGCATATTATGTTGCAGACCAATGTGCAAGTAATGCATAAGTAAACTATACAAAAAATAATGCAGGGGATGTTGTAAGTGACCAAGTAAATGCAGGAGTCTACATGATACAAGAATAATATATCCAAACACAGAATGTAAAATTAAATATACAGTGAAATAAAATTAAATATTGTGTATTGTAGTGATTACTATTTTTGATATTTTGCTCTTGTAGCTCCTATAGAACATCCTAATGTATCCAGATTATTTTATATTGTGTATTATTTATTTATGTCTGTCTGTCTGTCTACCACCCATCCACTGTATCTACTGTATTTAAGGTGTAGTTCCACTTAAAGACTGAGGGGGGCAGCAGAGCGCGCAGCATATATAAAGCCTGCCGTTAATTTCCACGTAGAAGAAGAACGCGGATCTAAAAGCGGAAGTAATTTGCTCGTGTCCTTGATAGAAAGAGAGGCAACTGCAAACGGAAATAAAGATGAACAGACACATATTTGTAAGTTTATTCTCTATTTAAATTCTTTGTTTTCTTTGTGGGATTATATATAAATTGATAAGGCAGACATCCAGTGTGAGAGTTAGTGACGCGGCTAAATTAAGACTAAAACTGATCTAGGGGTCAAAGAAACGTTAGGAATAGGAGCGAGCATTAGCTTAGCTTCCGCTGTAGCTTTACGAGCTTTACATAATATATATATATATTATACCCATTATTATCGATGATGAGACCATTTTAGTGTGAAAAGACAGCTTCAAATAAACTATGTAACAGATGCTTAAAGAAGGATATTAATACAATAACCCAATCAGCTTTTATTTAAAATAATTGATCTGAACATTAATGTATATTTGGCCACTAAAACAACTAGTTTGGTGTTTAGTAAACGCTGCCAGATCTTCAAAGACCTTGTAGTCAATGTGCTGGGTTGGACTCCAGTCGGCACGGGGTAGGGTCATCCAGTCTGCACGGGGTAGGGTTAGGGTCACCTTGTGCTGTGGTCTCCATTTGACCATGCTCACAGGAATGAATGAGATTTGATTGAATGTGAACATTATTTAATAAAGCCTATTCAGTGTGTTAGTCTGTGTCCTGCGGTTTGTAACGACTCTTCCAGGCTGTAATGACACTTCCTGGCTGGCTGTAATGACTCATCCTGGCTGTTATGACACTTCCTGGCTGTAACTGTTCTTCCTGTTTGTAACGACTCTTCCTGTTTGTGACCCCTCTTCCTGTCTGTAACGACTCTTCCTGTTTGTAACGACTCTTCCTGTTTGTGACCCCTCTTCCTGTCTGTAACGACTCTTCCTGTTTGTAACGAATCTTCCTGCTCCTGGTGTTTCCAGGCGCTGCAGCGCGTTGCTCGGAGGACCTTCAGCAGCTCCGGGCGCCGGCTGGAGAACCAGGTCCCCCAGAAACAGAAGATGTTCCAGGTACACAGACCCTGCATCAAGGCACATCCAGGGAGGAGGGTTAGGGCCGCATGAGAAACATCTGTTGGCATTAAACCAAAAGTACAAATAAATGGAGTTTCTCTTCGGAAAATCTCTGAGATTAAAGTCAGAATTCAGACTTTTTTTAATACAGAATTCAGACTTTTTTAATGCAGAATTCAGACTTTTTTAATGCAGAATTCAGACTTTTTTAATGCAGAATTCAGACTTCTTTAATGCAGAATTCAGACTTCTTTAATGCAGAATTCAGACTTCTTAAATACAGAATTTAAACTTTTCAAATTCAGACTTCTTTAATGCAGAATTCAGACTTTTTTTTTCACATCTCAAACCACCTTTGCTCAGATGTCAAATGTTTGTTCACATGTGGCCCTAATCCTCTCCCAGACACATTTAACCACTTCACCAGACCGTGTTTTACTGTGTTGGTATATGTGTAAAGTTCTTCCTGTTTCTACTGGAACCTTTTCAATGTTGTATTTTGACTTCCTCTGCCCCCTCATGGAAGTGGAGACTCACTGGCTTTACAGTTTTTATGTGATGATCTGTGTGAGGTTAACTGTAATACATTTGATTTTGTTTAGTAGTTATGGTTCTTGCTGTCTAAACTAGTAAGCCATTTCTGTTTTGATATTAATTAACAGTAGTTTTCTGATATGAAGAACCACATTTTGTGACTGTCGAAGTGTTTTGTTTAAGTTCAATTAGCATTATTGTTCTTTTGCTTGTAGCCTGTATCAAACCTAGGAAGTATAAACAACCCTACATCAATGCATTGGACCATTGAAAGCCTTGTTGTGTGTTCATGCAGACAGGAAGTGGTTTTAACGCTTCCTGTCGTCTCCTCTGAATGAGAAATTAGAGGTTTTTTTTCATCTCTTAAGCGGTGGTTCTTCTCCTGAAGCCCTGAAATCATTTTAGCTCCAAAGATAAGTTACGTAAATCTAACAGAATGTTTCACTAAATCTGCATGTGTGGTAGTGCCTATTAGGATTATTAGTAATCATTTTCACTTCAGTATTGTGTGATAAAGAATATTATATTGATGATTTTAAGCAGCTTTCAAAGTGTCTTGTACTTTAAACAAATTAGTTTTATGGCTGGTTTTTATTCTCTAATGCTTCAATATTGTTATTACACCTGCAAAGATTGAACCCAGCCTGCACGAACAGCTTTTTGTGGCCTTTTTTATTTAATTTCATATCTTTTTAAAAGGTCAGTCTGTGTTTGAGTGCTGTAGCATCTATAATAAATTACATACGCCACACAGGAGTACAAAAACACATTTCTAGGAATGATCAAAACATAATTTAGATGTTTTTTGTGTTTTTCTAATGCTGTGTTTCAGGTTTAAAGTAGAGACACTACATACTGATATACACCTGAACATCAGCAGGAGAGGACTCTTTAAAGTAGAGACACTACATACTGATATACACCTGAAATGTTTAATCTTGAAGAAAAACATGAATCTGACTCAAAGTGAATCTTTTGTGGATGTTCCAGTCAATTTGGTGTCTGATGTACTCTGACTAAATGCTCACCTTCTCCATAAAACTGATTTTCAAAACATCTGAAATAAGAGAAGCATGGCTCAAACAGCTTTTACGTTCTTTATTTATGTTTAATTTTTGGGGTGTATTTGAAGTATTTCACTTAGTGTTTTAGCAGATCTAACAGTGTGTATCTGAAGTATTTCACTTAGTGTTTTAGCAGATCTAACAACGTGTATCTGAAGTATTTCACTCAGTGTTTTAGCAGATCTAACGGTGTGTATCTGAAGTATTTCACTTAGTGTTTTAGCAGATCTAACAGTGTGTATCTGAAGTATATCACTTAGTGTTTTAGCAGATCTAACAGTGTGTATCTGAAGTATATCACTTAGTGTTTTAGCAGATCTAACAGTGTGTATCTGAAGTATTTCACTCAGTGTTTTGGCAGATCTAACAGTGTGTATCTGAAGTATTTCACTCAGTGTTTTGGCAGATCTAACGGTGTGTATTTGATGTTTGTCTCTGCAGGAGAACGACGGGATGCCGATTCATTTAAAAGGCGGTGTCGGCGACACTCTGCTCTACAGAGCCACCATGGGCCTCACCGTCCTGGGTGAGGAAACGTCTCCTTCTACTTTAAAAAGTTCCCCACATTCTGTTCCTGCAGAATCAGACGCTCATTATTTATCTCGAGGCTGAGCTCGTGAGGTAGACAACTCTCAAAACTGGAGATATTAAGGCAGACTAATGACACAAACTGTAGTTTCTACCCATAGGTGTAGCTTTTTCTAGACCTTAATTCTTGCACTGCTCAGAGAATAACAAATAAACAACATGCACACTTCTATATTTTGTATTTAGCACCAAATGGAAAACAAAGTGGTTGTGTGTAGCGTAAGAACTGCACGTTGTGTGTTGGATGTGCACTGCAGAGAAGCCGTGTATAAGTATTCAGGTGATGTTTTACGGCCGTGTGTTTCTACTCCATTTTGCCATTTCAATAACATTTCACTGAACTGTGCAGAGCTCTCACTTTGCCTGCTTAGACATCAGATCCACACCACTGATGTTTACTTATTACACGGTTCTACGGTCATTAAAAACCTGGAAAATTCTAAATGCAAATTCCAGGCCCTGGAAAAGTCATGGAAATGTAACTAAAGTTGCAACAAATATAATTTATATTTTATCTAATCGCCGAAATAGTAATACTATAATAATAAATACTGTATCGTATCGTAATGAAACTTAAAGTGGCATTTAACTGACGAGGGGTTTTGCTGGTGAGAGATTTGAGTTGCTTTAGCGTGAAGCTAGTAAGCTATTGGATTTGTTTCAGATGGGAACGACATGTTTCATATAAAGACCTTATTTTCCTGTTCCTTGTTAAAATAAACCATTTTCAGTGGTACGCTGAGTCATGTTTTTGGTCATGGAAAGTTAGGTAAAGGTCCTGGAGAAGTCCTTGAAAATCGTTGTTGAAAAAGTGTATGAACCCGGTTGTTACGGGACAGCACTACAATATCAACGTAGTTAGTGAAAATGTTTTTCGTCCTAGTGCCAAGCTTTTTGGTATTTTAACCGTTTGATTATGGATTTTTCTATTATCTGTTTTTAGTTATTATGTTTATAGAAGTACATGCATATTTTTTATTATTAATTTGTATGGCAGATTATTTGTTTAAACTTATCTTTGTATTAATAATTGTATTAATATTTTTTGATATTTATAAAATGGAGCAACCAATCCCTCTTTCAAAAAAGAATATTAATAGAATAATATGAATATTTTCAGTTGCAGAGTGTGTGCCGTTTCTCTATAACCATCATCTGTTTGACCTGGAAATCAAATATATAACTTGAATCTCCTTTGTATTGCAGGAAGTGGGTATGTTGTGTACGAGCTGGTGAAGTGGGCGTGCCCGAAGAAAGCCTGACTCCACTCCATGTTTACTTCATTTCAAATTTAAACAGATATACGCCGGCCGCTCTATATTGTGTAATAAATCTGTACGTTCCGGTGTTTCCCGTTATGACGGAGAATGTGTTTCATGCTCATGGGATCAATATTTATTTCTTGCACTCTCTGAGGTCCTGAGGATCAATAAACAACGCCTCTCATGACCAAAACATGTCGCTTCTTCTTTCCCCGATCGCTTTGTTCATTCAAATACTGTATTTGAAAGAGTTGGGAATGCGTTTTGGGAGTTTTCCTCTCCTGTTATATAAGTTTTAGTGCATGACGTAAATGGTCTGCAGAGGCTGAAATCCCTGTTTCACTGCAGAGGGCGAAGCTCCTTGCAATACTTAAGTAGGTTTACAAAAATAAGTTTCCTGGTTACACTCAGAAATCCAGACTTCATTTCTGAACAAGGTGTCTCTATACCATATATATATATATATAGAAAATAAGAGAGAAATATATTAAGGGCACTGACTGTAATATTGTACAGTGGTCGCTTCTTAAAGTTCCCATGTCATGCTTTTCCGGTTGTTACCAGTCCCCTCGTGTGTGATGAAGGTTTTTATGCATGTAAACGGTCTGCAGAGTCAAAACCCTCAAAGTACACCCTGTAGCGAGTAAAACTCTAACACAGAAAATACCTCCCCAAAACGCCTCGTTGGAGAAACGTCATTGTCCAATTACTTCCTGGGTGCTGTGTCGTAGGAATGGCCAGTAGCCGGATTGGCCGCAAATGGGCCAATCCGTGGAGCCGTTACGTTAAGCCCCCGCTGATTGGTCCAAATTGACCAATCCATGGATTTACAGGCAGCTCTGCTGCCTAAAAGCTGACAGGATGTTGATCAGGGGATTTGAAAGGTCTATAGCCACCTAGCCAGGTTTTCTAGCCTCTTCTCGATGTGCCATTCTTAGAGCTTCCTCTATGACGCTCTGATGCACTCTCCAAGAACGCTGAAGAGTACGTAAGTCAAATCAAACAGTATCACTCTCTCTCTTGCCTCATACCTGATCCCAGGATATCACCACAGCTCCACTAAATGTGCAACACCTCCCTTGGCTCTGACACAAACTGTATGTTGTTTACAAAGTGAGAGCCAGGGCAAAGAGAGGTTAAACCCAACAAAGCGTTGTGTTGTCAGTGTGTTGGAGATAGAGAGAGAAACACAACTCATTATAACATTGATTACAAGCACTCTTTTTATTTGGATTATATTTCATTAAAGCCGTAGTAAAAAAAGGAGAAACATATTCCATTAGGACTTAAGCTAATTAAAACATCCTAAGATACTGGAGGCATTTCAGCTTTAGGAATACACACAGAGTAAAAAGTGAGTATAGTAAATATATTGTATAGAGTATTGATCAGATATATAGAGCATGTGCAGCAGTTACAGTAGGCAGTACAGGTATATATATACTGTAGGTATAAGTACACGCTATGCTAATTATAAGACATTATATGAATCATTAATTGAAAAACAAATAAAAGCATTTTATTAAATCGACAATAGGGTGAATGATTTTCCCAGAGAACACAATTAACAAAAACATTTTATGGATCATTTTACAATTTAAATATTTTATGAATTCAACCCAACACTTGTATGTTTGAACATGTGCAGCAGTTACAGTGAGAAGTGAAGGTATAAGGTGTGAGTACAAGTACTGCTAATATTGAGATGTTATCCAGAGACTGTAGACTATAGATCAGATACAGTATAACTATGTATGGGGATGTGAGAGCATACTTAAAGGACGTTCAGTCAGAAAGGAATGAATATAATAAGCTGTGTTTCCT